ATGAATGAATGAATGAATGAATGAATGAATGAATGAATGAATGAATGAATGAATGAATGAATGAATGACAACTTTATTTAAGTCTCAGTCTTAATAACTGAGGACAAGTGCTCTACTAATTGGGGGGACTAAACTATAAAGTCAAATGTATTCACCTAAGATTTAGTACTAAGATGATTTTGTTCCGGCGGAAAAATTTGATGGATACCAAGTTCTTGCTCTAGGGTACTTACTATCCAGTTTTCATACAAACTCGTTAGAAAAACAAAATCGCTATAAAAACCGTTCCGGGGTCTCAGACTTTTGTCAGTTCATCATGCTGAAGACTTAACAGATGATCAACCAAGTTGTAGAAAATAAGTAATGAAAATGAAACCCTGTAACCGTTGAGATTGTCAATTGTGTACCGACTAACACTACTTTACTATTCGTTCAGGTAGCCTACTTCATATCTGAGTTGAAATCCGCTGGAGATGATTCACTTGGAGATGCCACGCCAGCGCCTTCTCTTTCATCCCCGGCTGTTCCCTCACCATGGTCAAGCCCTCGTAAAGTAGAAAGTCCTCATCCTGTCAGAGACGAATATCAGTGTTGTAAAACAGTGGTGTTACCTGGGGCATCTTGTTTGTTCGTCACGTTCGATCCAAGGTGTGCCACACAATACGAATATGATAAGGTAAGGCAAGTCATATCACTGACGTTTATAGAAGACCTGTTAGTTTGCCTGCATAGAAAGCGCTTCTGCAAAGAGAAAGATAGTTGGTATAACAAAAGTTGTGAGGTTTGAAGGCAAGGAGAGTGATGTAACAGAAGCACAGACTTTGCAACCCCATCCCCAAATTGCATAAAAGTTAGTCTTTGCAGATACAAGAGCAGTTACCTATCACGTACTAGCACAATGTATAATAGGGTTTATACCATGGATTTTTCTATTGCTTTCTAGTTGACCAAACAACTGGGCAAAACTCGCGGTAACAATTAATCGGTGGCCTCGCAGTTAGTGCGCTCGTCTCAGGATCAAGCGGTCCGGGCGCAAGCCCTGGGTGGGGACATTGTGCTGTGTTCTTGTGCGAGACATTTTACTCTCACAGTGTCTCTCTCCAGCCAGGTGTATCTATGGTCACCGGCGATTTACCACCATCCCATCCAGGGGTGGTAGAAATACTCCTAGTCACGTCGAATAAGCGCGCACCCCTCATTTGTCGACGTTACGTTGTCAGACATCGAGGAGGCAGCACTAGAGAGTTCGCTAATTGCCCTTAGTGACAATGTGATTGAAATTGACTAAGTACTACTTACATATTTCCCTCAAGACCAACTGACTTTTTTTTTTTTTTTAAAGAAACTTTTAATGAACAGTTAAAATTCTGCTTTGGTACATCTTCACGTTTTGTTCTTATTTATTATCTTGTTGCAAAATAAACTTACTACTTACTGAAACTGGTGAAAATGTAATAAGCGCCCGCCTCGAATAAGCGCCCACTCTCAAGGTCCAAAAATTTGATAAATGCCCAGGGCGCTTAATCGAGTAAATACGGTACTTATTCAATACCAGCTGTTACGTTTAACCTGTATACCACTGTCATACTTACCCTATGTATTACAAGTGCTGTTGATAACATGTGTGATTTCACACATCTTCAGGTGATTCTGTATGCCGGCAAGACAACCACTGGTCGTAAAGTAGCGGAGTATGGTGGTAACTCGTTCGGTGTGGGTAGTAGAGGAGTGATACGATTAGGTTGGCCCAAGGAACCTGTCAAGGTGGAGGGTGACGCAGTGACCATCTCCTTTCAGTTGAAGAGTACACGAGAGCGTAACACTCCTGACAATGCTGTGTGGGGATTTAGCTGCATTATTAGCACCAAGGTACAATAACGAAAAAGTTTCCTTTCTCAAAAATCTCTTTATTAACCTTTTGGTTCCTGAAGAAATTTCTCCAGCAAATGTTTTTGTAATACATTATAAGTACATTCATTTATATACATGACACAGGCTTATGCAACTCTGTGAGCAATTGGGGTTAACACAAATGTAGTTCAAATTGCATCTAATGTTAGTCATAGTTGTTCAAGAGATAATTTTATAAAGAAACTGTTGCTTTGTGTCAATGAACAAGTACAGTACGTGTAGCTGTTAAGGGGCGAATTAAAGGGTATTAATAGTTTCCTTACAGCATTCCGTTTTCGTTTTAGGAGCACGATGAAAAATCTTCCAAGCTACCGTTCTTTGACGACTTGTGCCTTGGCCTCTCTGTGCTCACCCACAGCTTGCTGAACGTTAGGTACCAGGGTCCTCCAAGTACTGAGGCAGAAGATGCCTGTCACCATCTGCTCGATTCGAAGCTACTGCAAAGGTACGGTATACATTGAGAGCTCGTCTGAACTTGCTCAGGAACTGACGGTGGAAATCATAGCAAAGACCCATAAGACTAATGGTCTCTGCATGGTTTCGTGAGATGTATTCCTTGTTGATCGAACTATTTCTTCGTGTTGAAGCATCGCAAAAGTTAACGTTTCATATTATCCTATTAAGATCTAGTTTAAACACTTGACGGCTCTTTGGTAGTTGCCACTAGGGCATAGTGACGTATTGTATTGTCCGTATTTCTTAGCTTCTTTTGTGGCAAAAGCCGCGGGCGATATTAATTGTTGGACGCTTAATTCTGTCTGTAAAAGGTATAATCCTTTCGAGAAGAGTTTAAAGCCAAGTGGACTAACTAAGGATTTCCAAAAGCACTTCTATTTTAATAGTCGAGTACTGAGTGCTACAAGAAGAGGCGTGACACAAGTCACGCTTTTCTATTCCCGCTTGACTGCCGATAGAGTGACTACTTGCGTCCTGTGATTGAGGTATTTCTTTTTTGTCACGCCAGGTGTGTTTGGCCGACTACTGCCGAGGGAGCGTCGGGAACTTCCGGGATTACCATTACTGTTGAGTCAGAAAAGGGTTCCACTACAAGTCTTGACAGTATCGTGTCCAAACCGAGCTCGAAACTTTCTCCTGAACTTTTAAAACGTCTTAGAGGTGCAGCAGGTAAGGGTTGTTCCTAAGGGAATAAAGCGCACAGTCAGGGCATATTGTTTTGATGTAACACCAATTTCTCAAAACGAATATGTAAAGGAGCATGTAGTAAACATGTAGGAGAATTAATGCTAAGAACTGATACCCTGGCTCACTGTCTTAAGTCGTTTATTTTTTCAGTTTTCTGGAAATATGAGCTCCTTCAGCTAAGAAATTGAGAATGTGTTCAAGAGGACTTTTTATCCGACTTACAATTCCTCATTGAACATGTTTAACAGTACTCCTTCATCCATCAGATGTATGACCCTGTCGTACCAAGCGCAGTTGTCTTTCAAGAAAATGATTTCAGTAACAAAACTAAGCCTTAATAGTAATGATAGAAACCAAGACGTTAAATTTCATATTTTACCTGATCCACTCAGGCGTACCAGCCCCCACCCTCCGTCCCAGTCTGCGTCAAGCCCTCCAGTCTGACGCCATCGAGGAAGTGGTGCTGCGGTGTGTCATCAACCACCTGAGGCTCACCAAGACTGTGCATGGACTGGAGCTTCTCCAGGCGACGGAGACAGAGGGCGAGGAGTACAGGCACCTGTGTGGCGTGATGAAAGATGTGTTCAGTCGACTGAATGGTCTGATCAGACAGCTTCAGAACATGGCGGAGATGGAACAGAAGTGGGCTCACGAGCTGGATGATGTGCGTGAAGGAATCCTACAGCCGAGTGCTGCCTTCTTCAATGACTTCCACTTACAAGAGGTACACAGTCTCCTCCTTGATTGATTTAACTGTTGCTTTTGTCCGATTTCAGCTACAGTGCGTCTGTCAAAGGGCAAAGAGAAGGCAAAGTATGGTGAAACACATAGTTGTAGTAACCCAGATTAGAACACGGCAGCAACAGCAACGTAGCAATTAGCACAGGGTAGTAGAGTACCTGCCCGTGTAATCTCCCTGCCTCCCTAAAAGAAAAAGATGCTTGTTCACAGGTTATTGTCCGTGCAGGCACGAGAAACATTTAACAATATCTGGGCTTGTTCTTAGGATATGCTGCCATGATATTGTTACAAGCATTTATCTACTATACCCATGCAAATGTCTTCATAACTGTACTGAGCTTATACCGGCATCTGAAAGGTGGCAGGTTTCACTCAATTGTTATGCTGTGAATACAAGTCTCCTTGTCTTTAGTGAACTCGTTCTATTAGCACTTTGTATGTTAACTTTGGGTTAGATTTTACGAACGACCTCTGGAGAAAGCGCTCTGCATTGCATTGTTTTGTCTTTCTTTTACAGGCTAAGAGCAAGGAACTAGAGTTGCTGTGCTCTCTGAAAAATGTTGAGTTCGATCCAATCGAGCAGGAACAGTCTGTGGGCAAACTCATGTGAGTGCACTGAATAGACCCTATTCGTATTTTCCGTATTGGACTGGAACTAGCTTGCAACTGAGGCTATGCGGGGGGGTTTTTCAAATGCAAATTACATTAATCTCTTTTTAATGATATTCTCCCGCATGAGCCTCCATTTCAAGCTAGTTCCAATCCAATGCCGAGAATACGAATATGGTCTATTCCAACTGAAGTATTTATTACAATACCATGAAAACCCTAGCAACTGTTTGACATTATTTGTTTTGGTTTGAAACATTTCTCGACCTTACTTTCTACAGTAACCCTCCCTCTCTCAAGAATGCTAAAGTTTGAAATAAGAATGAAAGCCTAAATATTCACCAACAAACAGCTGGGAATTCACCATTCATTAGTTTACTGCTTGAATACTGGACACAATAAAGCATCGGAAAATCAAGCCTAAATTTTTTCTCACTTCTACATGTTTCTCTGAAATCTCCTCAGACAACGTTTGGAAACTGAAGCGAAGACAGAACGCCAAGACATTGAAAACACATTGGACGTGATGCCAGTGACCAAGAAGTTTCTGTTTTCAGTCATGGAGTGTGCGGAGTTGCTGTGTAATGTGACAATCGAGTCCAGTGGAAATAAAGTCGCTCCTGAGAGGAGTATCTCGCACTGCAGCTTTGTACCTGATCATGGACAGCAATCACAACAGTGTATGTTTGTTAACCATGCTTGTTCCTTTATGTTTTAATATTATCTTCTTTGGTGTTTGTTTTTGTTGTTGTTGTTGTTATTTTGGTAAACTACTATTTTCAGGTTTTCGTCAATTTAAGGGTTATTTCGCATGTTGCCCTAAAAACTCAAAATGAGCTCCTTTAACTATATATTAAGGCTGTTAAGTTTATCACAAGTAATTACTAATCGTGGCATTCTTTATTTCAAAGTTAACTCGGCCGGAAAGGTAACAAACTCTTTTGCAGCAAGTTTGACCGCGTTGAAGCACACATCACGTCAAAACGTTGCATTTGAAGTAATCTCGCATTCAGATCTCCTCAATACTTGCATCTTGTTGTTAGTGGCTACTACTCGTTTCAATTGCGTTCTTCTGTTTACTGTCCAGTCTTCTTGTCCTTACCTCTTAACAAGCTTTCCTTTTCTTTTTGCATGTTGACAGCCACCTCCTTGAATCAGCTTCATACTCCTTCCTCGCCGCTCCTCAGTCGCTCACTATCAGCGCCGTCCACTCTGGACCAGTCGACTACAGTTCAAGAAGGCATACATGACGTGCGCAGGTTACAACGCTGGAGAACGAATGTTCAAAAGAAGCACAGTCGATGTTCTGCTGAAGATCAGACGGACTGTAATGTGAATGTGAGGACTTATGTTTCAACTGTGGCCGAGATTTTCACTTTTATTGGCAGTGATCCCGATAAAGCTGTAAGTAGGGAGCCAAGGTTGTGTTCTTTGATAGGCTGCATCTTCCTGTTTTGAAACTAAAATTTTGAGAATGGGACAATTAAGTCGAGTGTTGGACTTAGGGTAGACAATTGTTCATCATATATATGCTATTGTCAGCGAACGTTTTGAGGAGAACTAGACTGCTCGCGTGGGTCAAATTTACCTTTCGTATCGTCTTTTTTCATTTGAATTTTATTATGGTTAAATGCAAAAAATGGCAAACTCTCGGAATGTGAAGGTAAGCCCATAGTCGGACAGACAGATTGGCTTAGAGAAAAAAGTAGAGGTATGTCTAACATTTACTAGAAGCGTGGTTATTTTTTACGGGCTAACAAGTAAAATGAACGACTTTGCTTTTGTGTGTTTTTTCAGGTGGGAGTGGTTGATGACTGACAGTGTATGTCCTATTGTGTCAATGTTTGCGTCATAGCAA